ACCCACGTGGGAGACCAGGAAGAAGCTCCTGGCTCCTTGCTTTGGATTGGCTCAGCTCCAGCTGTTGCAGCCATTTGGAGAGTAAACCAGCAGATGGAAGACCTCTCTCTCTGTCTCTACTTTCTCTGTAACTCTTTCAAATAAATAAAATAAATCTTTAAAAAATGAAGAAGAGATGGCCCAAGTGTTGGGGCCCCTGCACCCACATGGGAGACCAAAAGGAAGCTACTGGCTCCTGGCTCCGTATTGGTCCAGCTCCTGCCGCTGCAGCCACTGGAGAGTGAACCAGCAGTTGGAAGAATTCTGTCTCTGTCTCTCCCTCTCTCTGTAACTCTACCTCTCAAAATAAATAAATAAAAATATAAAAAACCAACTTTTAAGACAGTTAAGATTTATTTTTACAAAGACTATTCATAACAGCATATAAAGCAGTCAATACTTAGGATAAATATGAAACATACAAGACTATTACAAAGAAACTTAAACTCAGTATGGAGAGAAATTATACAAGACACAAATGGAGGAATAAGACCTTGTAAACTTGTCAATTCTTTCCAGAGTGATTTACAGATTCAATACAACCCCAAATAACACTCCTACATTTTAAAGACAGTAGATATGAAAACTTGATTCTAATAATTATAATGAAAATATAGGGTATCTTCAAAAGTTTACAGAAAATGTGTTCTCAAGTAAACACTGGATGAGTTTCAAAACTGCATCAAAATAAACTTATGGTTTAATTCCATTTTTCATGAACTTTTTGAAATACTTTTATACAAGGATAAAGCAGCAAGGAGCCAAAACTAGCCAAGACTATTTCCAATCAGATTAAGGGAGAAAACTTAACTCTATTGGATCTTAAGACTTTATATAGCTACCATAATTAGAGACACTGTTATACTGCCATAAGACTTATGAGAAAGCCAAATACCGGCGGAGTCTATGGTCACAAAAGGCTCCCATAGCCTTGGCAGCCCATGACAAGAGCCTCAGAAGATCACTGATGTCATAAAAAAGAGTGTTAATTGTTAAAGGAACAACAGTAGTCATTGTGCACTTACTCCCCACATAGGACCTCTGTCCCTATTGAATTGTAATGTGAGAATTGACTGCAAATTCTCTCCCCAAACTGTACTCTATATGTTGTTTGTGGGCATGAGTGCAAATTGCTGAAGGCTATGATTAGCATAGAGTTGGTCCTCTGTACATAAAGTCATACTAAAAATGATCCATAACGAAGAAGGAGATGGGAGAGGGAATGGGAGGTGGGATGGGAGGCAGGGGGGAGGTTATGGGGAAACCACTATATTCCTAAAGTTGTATCTGTATAAAAATGCACTCATTAATTAAAAATTTAAAAATGAAAAAAAAGACTTATGAGAAAGAATAGAGACTCTAGAAACAAGCCCATACATTATACTAACAGTGAATTTATGACAAAGAATAAACTAAAAACAATAATGAAAGGATAATCTTATCAACAAATTGCTTGGTCAATATTACGTGTGCAAAAACTCACACAATTTATCAATTCCAGGAAGGTTATAGCTCCAAATGTTACCAGCGGATGGAAGACCTTTCTCTCTCTCTCTGCCTCTCCTTCTCTCTCTGTGTAATTCTGACTATCAAAGAAATAAATAAATCTTAAAAAAACGTTTAGAGTCTCTAAATAATAGCATAAAAGACTATACTCATGACCTTATGGTAGAGAAAAATTTTTAAAGAGGACACAAAAGCAGTATCCCTAACAGAACGGATAGATAAATTGAAGTATGTTTAAGTTTTTCTGTTCCTCAAAAGATAAAGTAAGAGAAGGAATAGCAAGCAATAGCTAGGAGGAAAGTATCTGCAATACATATACCAACAAATAACTTGTATAAAACACACAAAGAACTCATTAGAAATAACAGACACATAGCATATGTCAAGGTCAACTGGCTGTATCTGTATAGACAAGTGAGGTATTTAATTTTAGCTCAAATGGCCACATACTCCTACTAAAAAGATCTCAACAATAAATTTGCTTAATTCTCTTTCACCAATTTCTAGTCTTTTCAGCCCAAACACTTTTTAGGTCATATTAATTTGGTTTTACCTTATCATAAACTCTACAAGGTGGGGGAGGGAATGTCTAAAATATTGTGATGATGTCCTCTATGCTTTAATTCTCAATTTCTTGAGCCCTATTTCAGAACTCTGTACTTTGGAAGACTTTATCCCAAGAAAAATAACTGACTTAATGATATCTTCATACTTTTACCCACATTTTCAGTGCTTCAATAAAACACAAAAATGTCTTAAGTCAAATACTTAAAAAAACTCTTGCTATATAAATAAACATGCATCTGGAATACAATCCTTTTAGTCACATAACTCTAGTGTTCTTAGATGCCTGCCTGCAAATTTTCCACAACGTGCAGGGCACTGAACTACAAATCTTCCTTGACCTATAGTGGGATTACAGCCCTATAAACCCATTGTTGGTTGAAAATATCCTCAGTCACCTAACCTAATCAAGTATCACTGTTTAGCCTAGCCTAAACATGCTCAGAACACTTAAAGTAGCCTACAGTTGGGCAAAATTATTTAACACAAAGCCTATTTTATTAAATACTGACTATCTCATTAAATACAACGGAAAGTGAAAAAGAATGGTTGCATGGGCACATTTTCACACTCTATTATGAAGTCCAAAACACTGTAAGCTGATGATCACCTATAGTTATTTCATTCATTAAAAAAAATATATAAAATGTGTAGGTTCCAAGTAATTTGTATCAAATTGAAACAACTGATAAATACATATCTTTGTGGGCTGGCACTGTGGTGCTGTAGCACAGAAGATTAATCCTCTGCCTGTGGAGCCAGTATGCCATGTGGATGCCTATTCAAGTCCCAGCTGCTCCACTTCCGATCCAGCTCTCTGCTATGGCCTGGGAAAGCCCAAGGATGGAAGATGGCCCAAGTACTTGGGCCCCTGCACATGCGTGGGATACCCAGAAGAAGCTCCTGGCTCCTGGCTTCAGATCTTGTAGCCATTTGGGGAGTGAACCAGTGGGTGGAAGACCTTTTTCTCTGTCTCTCCCTTTCACTACCTGTAACTCTAGCTGTCAAATAAATTTTTTAAAAAATACATATCTTTGTAACTAAGAGAAAAAATTTTTTGATTTTACACCCCTTTTAACTATGTGTAAACTGCTTGGTCTCTGAATCTCAGAATTTAGATCTGTAAAAAATGAGTAAAAATTCCTACCTCCTAGAGTTAGAAACATACTAGGGGATTCCAATTCAATCCCATCAAGGTGGCATGTACCAATGCCATCTCACCAGTCCAAGTGATCAATTTCAGTTCACAATTGATCATAATGAAAGGACTAAGAGTCAAAGGAAGCACATAAATAAGTCTAGTACCTGCTAATACTAACCAATGGAATAAATAAAGGGGAGAGCGATCCAACATGGGAAGCGAGATACACAGCAGACTCATAGAATGGCAGATGTCCTAAATAGCACTCTGGCCTCAGAATCAGCCCTAAAGGCTTTCGGATCCGGCTGAAAAGCCCATGAGAGTATTTCAGGCATGGAAAGCCAAGACACTCTGGCAAAAAAACAGACCTAAATGAAAGATCTCTGTGAGTGAGATCCCAGTGGAAAGAACAGGTCTTCAAAGAAGGAGGTACCTTTCTCTGAAGGGAGGAGAGAACCTCCACTTTGACTATGACCTTGTCTAAATAAGATAAGAGTCGGAGAACTCAAAAGGCTTCCATAGCCTTGGAAACTCATGACTGGAGCATAGGGAGATTACTGATGCCATAGACAGGAGTGTCAATTGGTAAAGTCAACAACAGGAGTCACTGTGCACTTACTCCTCATGTAGGATCTCTGTCCTTAATGTGCTGTACATTGAGATTTAATGCTATAACGAGTACTCAAACAGTATATTTCACTTTGTGTTTCTATGGGGGCGCAAACTGTTGAAATCTTTACTTAATGTATACTAAACTGATCTTCTGTATATATAGAAAATTGAAAATGAATCTTGATATGAATGGAAGGGGAGAGAGAGCGGGAAAGGGGAGGGTTGCGGGTGGGAGGGAAGTCATCGCGGGGGTGGGGGAAGCCAATGTAGTCCATAAGCTGTACTTTGGAAATCTATATTCATTAAATAAAAGTTTAAAAAAAAAAAAGTAAATTACATCATGATAATAAGTAGATCTTGACAGGGATGATGATAATTTCTATTGTTACATCAACTACTTATGAGCCTTTAGACTGGAAACAATCTAAAGCTCATGGGAAAATGAAATTCAAAGTAATGAATTTTGGTACAAAGACTTATGAAATCCATGCAGTTTTTATTTAATATATATTTTCCATTAACTCTGAAAAAAAAAATTCCTACCTCCTAGGTTCTTAGAAAGATTAAACAAGTTAAGGTAACTTAAGTTCTTAACATATTTCTTAGTAAACAGAAAACACTCAGAACATGAAAAGAACATCATACTAAAGGCAGAAACTCCAACTCTACAAACAGTTATAAAAAATAGTCACATGCTTTTAGGCAATATCTGATATATGTGCTATTAATATCTGTAGAGGCTGGTGCTCTGGCACAGCAAGTTAAGTTGCCACCTGTGACACCAGCATCCCATAAGGACGCCAATTCAAGTCCCAGCTGCTCCATTTCCAATCCAGCTCCCTGCTAATGTGTCTGGGACAGCACTGAAAGTCCACATGAACGACCCAGACACCTGGCAGAGCTCCTGGCTCCTGGGTATGGCCTAGCCCAGTCTTGGCCATTGCAGCCATCCGGGGAAGCAAACCAGTGGATGAAAGGGATCTTTCTCTCTCTCTCTCTCTCTCTCTCTCTCTCTCTCTCTCTCTCTGTCTCTCATTCTGTCTCTCCTTCTCTCTGTAACTCTGCCTTCAAAATACATAAATGAATGTTTATTTAAAAATACATTTGTACAGTTTACTGCTTTGTCATTAATAGTTACCTGCAAGATTGTCAAGCATGAAGTTCAGTAGCTTTCGGGTTCCATCTGGGTCCTGGTACAAGTTGAGAATATCCTGTGATAAAGGATTGCCTAAAGTAAAAGATAAAAATAAAAACTATAAGACTTAACATTGCAAGACTGAACAAAAATGCACTCTATAAAGTAAGATATCAATTTTCCAAACTGAATTCTACTATATTTAACCTGATTATATACACATTTAAAGAAACTGTATAAATTTAAAGTTTATCAGGACACAGTCCTATTGTAAGCTGAGGAGCATCTGTACGTTCAAAGTGTTAAAGAGAACCATATCTAAAGAGTTAAATTACAAAGATAATGTCTCACCAGATAGACTATCAAAAAAGAAATAGAAATTACAAAAAAGGAAGCAAACAAATCATGAAGTAAAAAAATACAGTGAAAAATAATCAAGGGCTGGAGCTGTGGTATAGTAGGCTAAGCTGAATGCCAGCGCTCTTATGGCCTGGGAAAGCAGTGGAAGATGGCTGAAGTCCTTGGGCCCCTGCACCCACATGGGAGACCAGAAGAAGCTCCTGGCTTCGGATCAGCCCAGCTCTGGCCACTGAGGCTATTTGGGGTGTGAACCAGCGGATGGAAAACCTATCTCCCTCCCTCCCTCCCCGCCCCCGCCTCTGCCTCTCTGTAACTCTTTCAAATAAACAAACAAATCTTCAAAAGGAAAAGAAAAAGAATCACTAGAAGGGCTCAACAGCAGACTTCAGCAGGTAAAAGGAAGGATGAGTAAGTTTTTAAAAGATAGTTGAGTTGAATTGGTACAGTCTGAAGACCTAAGAGAAAAAATAAGAAAAGCAAATGCAGCCTCAGAGAACCATGAAGGGTCCCAACATTTGCAAAGCGAAGAGTCCCAGAAGGTAAAGATAGAAAAGAACAATTGAAAAATTAGAAAAAATGCTCACAGCATCCCAAATTTTATGAAAACCATGAATACATGTATCCAAGAGGCTAAATTCTAAGTAGGATGAGATGCAAGAGATCTACACCTAGATAAATTATAACAAAATTCGGAAAAAGACAAGAATACAGAGAGAAAGGCCGGTGTTGTGGCATAGCAGGTTAAGCTTCCGCCTGTGATGCCAGCATCCCATATGGGCACCTTTTCAAAACCCCACTGCTGCACTTTCAATCCAGTTCCCTGCTAATGTGCCTGGGAAAGCAATGAAAGTTGGTCCAAGTACTTGGGCCCCTGCACCTACATGGGATACGTAGATGAAGCTCCTGGCTCCTGGTTTCAGTCTGGCCTAGCCCCAGCCCCAGCTGCTAGAGCCATTTGGAGAGTGAACCAGTGATGTAAGAGACACCCCCCCAATCTCTCTCTCTCTCTGTCTCTGTCTCTCCCTCCCTCCTTCCCTTTCAAATAAATAAAATAAATCTTTAAAATACACACAGAGAGAATCCAAAAAGTAACAAGAAAGGTGATTCATCATGTATAGATTCGTCAGTAAGATTAACTGCTGGTTTTTCATCAGAAACCATGAAAAGCTCGAAAGCAGTAAAACATGTTCTAAGTGCTAAGGGAATAAAAACTGTCAAGTAAGAATTTTTGAACTGGAAAAAAACGGACTTTGAAATGAAGGAGAGGTTGGCATTCCCAGATAAGCAAAAATCGACTAGGTTTGTCACTACAAACTATTTATTCAAAAAATACTAAAAGGAGTTCCTTCAGGCTGAAATGAAAAGACACTGGATAGTAACTCAATTCTAAATGAAATAGTTGAGAGTGGCAGTAAATAAAAAAGAAAGCAAAAATGTATTTTTAATTTTTTTCTTTTATCTGATGAGACAATTATATAAAGCAATAATTATACATCTATGTTGATGTGCACAGCATGTATGAAGATCGTAACTATGATAATAACAGCACAAAAGAGGTGAATGGAACTATAGATACAACTTTTTTAATACTATTGAAATTAAATTGACAATAATCTAAATTAAATTCTGACTAATAGAGATGTTTATTGTAATTCCAAGGTAACCTTTTAGCATAAAAATCAAAATAATACAGCAAAGGAAATAAAAAGGAATTAAATTAGTACATTAGCAAATATATATTGATCACAAAACAAGGCTTTGTTGAGGAATACAGAAACAAAGACATATGACAGAAAACAAATAGCAAATTGGCAGTAATAAATCCTATTTTATAAGAAATTAAATAAATGTAATTACATAAATGAAAATGGATGGGCCAGTGTTGAAGCAGTGGCGCCTTTAACAGGTAGAGGTTGGAGGAAGGTAATTAGGTCACGGGACACCATAGTTCTCACGTAGTTAACATGGTTCTCACAGAACTGAACTACTTCTAGCAAGAATGGAACAGTACGAAGCAAGGCCATCTAACATGCTTAGCCTCTTCTGCAGAAGATGCATCCCTTTTCTGCTTCTCTATCCTTTTGTGACCCAATCAGGGAATGTTCATCAGAATGCCAGCACTATGGTATTTGAATCTTTCAGCTGCTAGAATCATGAGCCAAACAAACCTCCTTACTTGGCAGTGGCCTGTAGGATTTTGTTATACCAACATAAAATGAACTAAGACATCAAGATTAGCAGAATTCATTAAAAAAATCATTATATACTATCTACAAAAGACATGATACACTTAAAGACACAAAGAGGAAAAAAGACAAAAAGGGATAATCTCAATGTCCTGCATCTCTTAAAAAGAAAAACAAATGAATTAGAAGTTAAATGTTTCAACAGAGAAAATTACAAGCACATATGGTTTTATTAAAAAAAAAAAAAAAAACCTCAAGGAATCATTAAGAAAGCAATTACAGCAATGTTTTGGAAACTCTTCCAAAACTTGCATCAGTGACAAAAACCATCAACAAATGTGAAACAGAAGGAAAAATTATCAAACTCTACAATTAATGCTGATGTTGAAAGATGGCCTCTACAATCAAGATAAGTAAAGATGTATACTATCCCACTTCTATTTAATACTGTACCAGAGATTCTAGCTAGTGTAATAAGGCAAGAAAAAGAAACTAAAACTACATATTGTCTCTTTCCGCCATCTTGGAGCCTGTGGAGGCCTGCAGGGAGCAGGACTTCTAGAAGGCAGCTATATCTGGAAGACTGTGGGGCAAGGCCATTTTTGCTGGCTATAAGCGAGGTCTCTGGAACCAAAGGGAACACACGGCACTGCTTAAAATTGAAGGTGTTTATGCTCGGGATGAAACTGAAATTCTACTTGGGCAAGAGGTGTGCTTATGTGTACACGGCAAAGAACAACACAGTGACTCCTGGTGGCAAACCTAACAAAACCAGAGTAATCTGGGGAAAGGTAACTCGCGCTCACGGAAACAGTGGCATGGTTCATGCCAAATTCCGAAGCAACCTTCCTGCGAAGGCCATTGGACACAGAATCCGTGTGATGCTGTACCCCTCAAGGATTTAAACTATTGAAAAGTAAATAAATAAAAGTGGATTTGTTCTCTTGTAAGAAAAACAAAAACAAAAAACAAAACAAAACAAAAAAAACTACATATTGTAAAGGAAGAAATTAAATGATCTCTTCTCATAGATGACCAGTCTACAAACACTGCAAGATAAGATCAATTTACAAACTGGGTTTAATTCTGAAACATGAATAATTAAAACTTAACAAGCAGTATTATTTACAACAACATCAAAATGTATCAAATAGTGGGGCAAGCACTGTGGCATAGCAGGTAAAGCCTCCACCTGTGGTGCCAGCATCCCATATGGGCACTGATTAGAGTCCCGGCTGCTCCACTTCTGATCTAGCTCTCTGCTATGGCCTGGGAAAACAGTGGGAGATGGCCCAAGTGCTTAGGTCCCTGCACATGCGTGGGAGACCTGGAAGAAGAACCTGGCTCCTGGCTTCAGCTGTTGCAGCCACTTGGGGAGTGAACCAGCAGATGGAAGATTTCTCTCTCTCTGCCTCTGCCTCTGCCTCTCTGTAACTCTGCCTTTCAAATAAATAAATAAATAAATCATAAAAAAGAAAGTTCGTGGAAAAAAAGGACTGAGATAAATTTTAAAACTGCATCGAAGGCCGGCGCCGTGGCTCAATAGGCTAATCCTCCACCTTGCGGCGCCGGCACACCGGGTTCTAGTCCCGGTCGGGGCGCCGGATTCTGTCCCGGTTGCCCCTCTTCCAGGCCAGCTCTCTGCTATGGCCAGGGAGTGCAGTGGAGGATGGCCCAGGTGCTTAGGCCCTGCACCCCATGGGAGACCAGGAAAAAGCACCTGGCTCCTGGCTCCTGCCATCGGATCAGTGCGGTGCGCCGGCTGCAGCGGCGGCCATTGGAGGGTGAACCAACGGCAAAGGAAGACCTTTCTCTCTCTGTCTCTCTCTCTCACTGTCCACTCTGCCTGTCAAGAAAATAAATAAAAATCCTCATAAAAAAAAAAAAAAAAACTGCATCGAATTGTATGTAAAAATCTGGAAAAAATATTTTCCAATTTGCATACTAAAAAGTAGAAAACATCAAAGATCTACATAAATGCAGCTATATTGAATTGAAAAACTCAATATTAAACCTCAAGATTGGGCCCCGGCCCATCTCCATGGCGACCGGGCTGTATATAGGCAGCCGCCACCGCCTGAGCCGCAGGTTCTCTTACATCGACCGCCTAAGAGTCGCGCTGTAAGAAGCAGCAGCCTCCCTCTCGGCCTCCGCGCGCAGCAGCAACCATGCGTGAGTGCATCTCCATCCACGTCGGCCAGGCTGGTGTCCAGATTGGCAATGCCTGCTGGGAGCTCTACTGCCTGGAACACGGCATCCAGCCCGATGGCCAGATGCCAAGTGACAAGACCATTGGGGGAGGAGACGACTCCTTCAACACCTTCTTCAGTGAGACGGGCGCTGGCAAGCACGTGCCCAGGGCCGTGTTTGTAGACCTGGAGCCCACGGTCATTGATGAAGTTCGCACCGGCACCTACCGCCAGCTCTTCCACCCCGAGCAGCTCATCACGGGCAAGGAAGATGCTGCCAATAACTATGCCCGCGGGCACTACACCATTGGCAAGGAGATCATTGACCTCGTCCTGGACCGAATTCGCAAGCTGGCTG